CAAGAGCATAAAGTACAGGGCAGCCATCAGCAGCTTCAGGTCGAGCTGAGTGTGCACGGGAGAACGCATCCACTTCCAAAATATTCATACAAAAGTTTCGGCCTCTCATGAAGCCGCGTTGGCCCCCAGGGACGAAACGGTCCAGAGGTCTTCGGGTGGCAAAGTTCACCGCGGCAGACAAAAGCTTGATACTCGTATTACGGATACCCAGAACCCGTGCAGCATTTGCTTCCCGATCACACTCGCCATCAGACGTGTCGGCGGCAAGCTCACCCTTCGGCAGGAAGGCCTGCAGGGTCACGCTTTCCGGCAAGAAAAGGCCATTGCCCGATAACATCCACAAGAGGACGTCGTGCAGCAGAAAGAGCCCAGACGGGTGAGCGAGTCAGGCAGCATAGCAAAGACGATTCACTCCAGGCGCAGAATCACTAACACGAAGTGCAACTTTCTTGAGAACAGCAAGTGATGGCGGCGGGCAGTCTTCGAATCTGACGGGTTTCACGAAGCGATCGACGTAAGCAGCGGCAGTCTGAGCAGGCCAAGGCTTCCGAGCAAATACTGCGCCCCAATGCTTGGTGAGAGCATCGGCGCGATCCGAAGCATCCTCCATCCTGGCCCCATCGACAGTGATAGCTCTCAACATCAGTCTCCAGGAAAACGGGACCCATAGCCGAGCTCGACGATCGATTGCCTGAATCTGTTGACGAAGACGAGCCCTGGAACTAACGTCCTGCGCTTGGTCGAGCCGAGCCTGCACCGAGGCGCGATCTAAATCAGCAGCTTTGAGGTGCACTTCGTTCGACCATCTTTGAAACGAAGCCGGGTGGGGCAAGCGCACCTGGCCGCCACAGATCTTGATAAAGTCTAGGGCCACTTCGCGCGAGCTCAGCAATAACTCGGCATGGTCGCAGTCTGGGCGCCAGACAGCGCGAGCAAGGGCGCGAGCAAGAAGCAAAAGTGTCCGCGGGTCATGCGAATTCTTGAAGGCTAAGAGGTTGCGGGCAACTCGGCTGGCCTCTTGCATTAACGCCTTGTAACGCTCCAATCTACGAGGGGGACGCATTGCCTCAATATGCTCAGCTTCAGCTTCCACATACTTCCCAAGAACAGACTTATAACTAGGAGATCTCACACTATGCTTCGGGATGGGTCTGTCGAACTCGTTGGGGATCTTTCGGGGGAGAAGCGAAGCGACCAAAGCTGTATGATCACTAACCTTGCCCTTCGACAGCTCCTCGGGGTTGCCCGCAACTCTCGCGCGCGAATAAATTTGCGCAATCATCCAACCTGGCCAAGAACACCAAAAGCGATCGATAGCTGCTACTGCATCCGCCTGCTTGTCATAATGTGTGGCGGCAGCAGGAGGTATCTCAATAAACGACTCAAGAGTGTTATGCCATCTCGGCGCCTGCGCATGCAGGGGACGAGCGTTTCTTTGAGCCCCCCCCCCTCCCCCTCTCCCCGGCAAAACCCCCCCCCCCCCCCCTAACCCCTGCCCCCCCCCCCCCCCCCCTCCCGCTCGAAAACCGGGGGGGCACTGCCGGTTCGAACCCCTCCCCCCCCCCCCCTCCGGATCCGGAAAACCGGGTGGGGTCGCTGCCGGTTCGAACCCCTCCCCCCCCCCCCCCTTGCCCTTCGGATCCGGAAAACCGGAGGGGGTCACCGCCGGTTCGAACCCCCCCCCCCCCCTCCCCCTACTCACCGCCAGCAAACGACTCCCGGTCCCCACCACCGTCCGCATCACATCCCCCACTGGTGTTCCCAGCCCACTGTCCTCACCACCACTGTCCCCTGCTGGTTCCACCACCGCCCCTACTGTCCCCACCAGTGCCCCCACCACTGTCGCACTGTCCCCGCTGTCCCCAGAACTGTTCCCACCACGGTTCCACTCTCCCCACTGTCTCCACGGCCCCAACCACTGCCCGACTATCCCCACTGTCCCCACTGTCCCACTGACTCCTCCGCTGTCCCACTGAGCTGTCCCACTGTTCCCACCACTGTCCCCACTGTCCCCACCACTGTCCCCACTGTACCTCTGTCCCATTGTCCCACCGCCGTCCTCGCCACCGCCTTCACCACTGTCCCCACCACCATTGTACCCTCCACTGTCCCACTGTTTCCACCTCATTCCCATTGTCCCCACACCACTGTCCCCACCACCACCGTCACCACCACTGTCCACTGTCCCCCCCTGTTCCCACCATTGTCCCCACCACTGTCCCCACCACTACCGTCCCCACCACTGTCCCACTGTCCCACTGTCCCCACCGCTGTCCCGCTATCCCCTCACCGCTGTCCCCACCAACACCGCCCCCACCACTGTCCGCACCCCCGCTCGGTTTTCCAGGGGGGGGGGGGGGGTCGAACCGGTAGTGAACCCCCCCGGTTTTCGAAGGGTGGGGGGGTGGGTGGGGGGGGTTCGAACCGGTAGTGACCCCCCCCCCTTTTCATGATGAGCTGGGGGGGGGGGGGGTTCGAACCGGTAGTGGCCCCCCCCGGTTTTCCGGAGGGGGGGGGCTCGAACCGGTAGTGACCCCCCCCGGTTTTCCGCCAGCAGCGGTAGAACACGCTCTTTCGAATATTCCAATGAATGATCTTCGTATTTTCACTCGCGATCACTACGCGCAGCACCCTGCCGGGAAACTAATGCAGCAGTCACAGGTGCAGCAGCAAAATAATCGTCTCGCTGGACATGATGAGCTACTTGGACAGATGGCGGCTCAGATCAAACGCTTGGAGGAAGCACTGGTGGTGGCGAATTCTCAATCTTCGCGCCCTGCTCAGATCCAATCTACTCAATTCGACAGGGACACAGACGGCGCGATCATCAGAGTCTCAGCTGGGCAATTGTGGCTAAAGATGCGGTTTTGGCTCTCCCCAGCGACAAGTACGAGCTCCAGTCCGCTGATCCCCTCGCGAAGCAGTTCATTCTCAAGTTCGCGGGAGCTGCTGGATTGGCTGCCCGCCGTGTGGGCCAAGCTTTGCAGTCTCTTCGTGGCAGTGGCGGAGTCTGGAGGGCATTCGCTGTGGCAGCTCACGGCGGTGGTGGAGAGGCTCGACTTCATATTTCGCAAGATAAGAACCCGCGCCAGGTCAAACTCGAGATCCTCGGCCGCAAGACCAAGCTCGCCTTGCAGGGGGAGTTGGGAGGCCGCAAAGTCTTCTTCGATCGTGATCGTGGATGGGTTTCAGTTGGCTGGGACGCGCTGTGCAAGATCGAGCCGAAGCAGGGCAGGGAGAAGGCTGAACTCATGTGGAACATGGCGACGATCCGCAAGCTCGGAGTGTCCAAGGAGGCTCTGGTGGCTCGCACGAACCAGATCTTCGAACCTGATACGGAGCCTGAGTGGTGTCTTTGACAGGTTTGCGAAGCTGCTGCCGAGGTCGACGTCGCAGTCGCTTTGTGATATGAGCTCAGTAGGTGGCATCAATTTCACGACGTGCAATTGTCGGGCGCTTCTCCAGTATGAGGGGGCTCATGCATCTGAGAAGCTGGGATATATGCTTAGGCTGCGCCTCGGTTCCTCTGTTACTTCGTTTCAAGAGGTCCATCAAAACGAGGTCCAGCTACGCATCTTTTTGCAACGTGTGCTCCCAGGGGCCGTGATTTTTTCTAGTTTCTGCGGAGAAGATCGTGAGGGTCGCATCCGAGGGGGTGTTGCCACGGTCATTCCAGGGATTCTGACTCCAGGGAGTCCCACCCCTACTCTTCCTCTAGGAGGAGGAGGAGGAGGAGGAGGAGGAGGAGTAGGAGGAGGAGGAGGAGGAGGAGGAGGGAAAGCAGCAGGAGGAGGAGCAGGCGGGTCAAGCCCAAATGCCTTCCTCTCGTCGCCTTCCCTCTTCCCTTCCTGCTTCGCCCTTTGCGCGCATTGGCCGTGCGTGATCTTGCTCGAATCTGCCACTACTCGTTACTAGCAGTCCTTGGCCCTAGGATTGTCACGAGAGGCTGGGAGTAAAGCGGTCAGAAATGAACCCACATTGGCCCTGACAATCCAGCCTGACCCTGGGATAATGCGTACAATAACCGATTTGGCACCCCCAAGAACTTTTCCGATACGGTTTCTCCTGGGGCTTCGGGAATGTGAGTTTGGGCGCGTGAGCAACGACTTCAGTGTCAGTCCACAGATCTCGACGCAATCGCCTCTGAATGCATGAAGGCTCCAATGGGGGACACCCGCGTGTTCCGCCGTCCGTCTTGCTCTTTGCTTCCTTAACGCTCCCGGTTCCCTGTTCTCCCATCTTTCACAGCTGCACCACCATCGACTCACAGCTTGTCAAGAGTCTGCTGGTAGCCTGCTCAGAGCTAGCTCGATTCTGGGTCGTATCCCGAATCTCGCTTAGAGTTGCAAGCTCGATCAAGACGCGGCGGCTCAAGAGCGCTCCGAGAAGGCGCCGAGATGGCCAAGATGGCTCTCAGATGGCATGCAGACCCGCTGGGATTTCTGGCTGAACCGAACGAGGGCACCCCCCTGTCTTTGGGCCCCGCGATGCTCCCCAGGAGGACGGGGAGGACGACGTGGCGGGAAAGAGGAATGAGCATGAGGACGATGAGGACGATGAGGAGGAGGAGGAGGAAGAGGAGGAGGAGGAGGAGGAGGAGGAAGAGGAGGAGGAGGACGATGAGGAGGAGGAGGAAGAGGAGGAGGAGGAGGACGATGAGGATGAGGAGGAGGAGGAGGAGGAAGAGGAATGATCATGAGGACGATGAGGACGATGAGGACGATGAGGAGGAGGAGGAGGAAGAGGAGGAGGAGGAAGCGGAGGGCCCTCCTGAAATCAGCATAACCATCCCGCACTGCTCAACGACACAAGCCCTCAAGCTTCCCGAGACCCCCCCCCGACACGGCACCACCCTGCTCGGCGTGCCGCCGCCGCGCCGTGCTGGGACCAGCGCGCGCCTGCCCCCATCTCCTGGGGGGCCCCCGCAGGGTCAGGTCGGGCACGGCCTCCCAGAGGCGGACCCTGGAGGGAGAGCTGAGGGATGGCCAAAAGGCACGCAAACCTGGCCAGAAGACCACGGACACAATCGTCACCGTGACAGTCTCTACGGTTCTGGAATTAGTCCTCCTGCGAGGGACACTGCCCGACTTAAGCTTATAGGGGACAAGCCCGCCACAGACGCACTTTTGGTACGTGGATCTCTCAAGCTCTCCGCCGCCTCTGGTGGTGTGCGTTGCGAGCAGGAACGCAGCAAAGCCACAAGAAAGCGCGGCCTTGACAGTGTAGCTCCGCACACGTGACACATGTTAACGAGCAGGAACACAGCAAGGCCCCAGGAGAGCGAGGCATTGACAATGTAGCTCAACATTGACACGGTGGTGGCTGGGGAGCCCCCGCGACATGTCCACTGGCGTTGCTCCACCCCGGCGGGTGTGGACAAACGACGCGCTGAGTGCACGAAGCGCGCCGACTTCTCGCCACCGGCGCGCGAGACCGCGCCACCCGTCGCCGCGCCCGGGAGAGCCACGCGAGGCGCGGCGCGCGGACGCCCTCGCGCTCTCGCGCCGCCGCGCCGGAGCAGGGCGCCCTCCCTCGGCGCGCGAGCCGCGGAGTGAGAGGCGGAGGAGGAGGAGGAGGAGGAGGAGGAGGAGGAGGAGGAGGAGAGGAGGAGGACGAGGGAGGAGGAGGAGGAGGAGGAGGAGGGGGAGGAGGAGGAGGAGGAGGAGGAGGAGGAGGAGGAGGAGGAGGAGGCGGAAGAAGAGGAGGAGGAGGGCGCCCTCCGGGCCCCCGCGGGTGCCCCCCCCGTGAAAATCACCGAGTGCCTTCGGGGCTCGTTGGTCGGCGGCCTCCCCCAGTGGGGGGCCGCGCCGCCCCCCTTCCTCGGGGGTGCGCGAACATGGATTAGCGGTACTGGACAAGCGCGTTCCACTACTCGCGAATGGCCCAGATCCGCCGCAGGGGTTGTACGGTCCATTGCATAAAAGGAGAAGGTTTTCTTTCAGGACGTTTGCGAATAGGCACTTTGCGAGTAGTGGAACGCGCTCGGTGAGATACATGGATTTGGTGCGCGGTCGCCAAATCCGTGGATCGGGAGGTGCCCTCCCCCAAATGCGGCCGGTGCCGCCTCGCTCGGCGGCGGGAGTCCGCAATTTCCCATGGAAGCGGGGCCCGTCGCTAATCCACGCCCCCCTGATCCATGTTTGCGATCGCCTGACCTCCGTCGCCAGCCCTCCACCCCCCGGCCTGCCGATTCCACAAGCATGCGCGGACGGTGCCAAAGCCGATGCAGACGAGCAGCGTGAGAGACCACGGGCCTGATCTTTGCAAACAGTGGCGCCACGTATGCATCTCTGCAATCCCAGAGAGCTTCTTCGTTTGGGAAGCTGGGCTCCAAGCGTAACGATAATCAGTTCTGTTCTGCGGGCCCCAGGCCTCCCAAGAAACTCGAGGCGCTCCTGGCTACCTCCTGGGGCTCCTTGGGCCTTGGGCCCTCCTGAGGTGCCGGTGCCCGATAACCGCAGATGTGGCGGCGGCGGCACAGTGCTGTAACGTTTTCCTCGTCCTTTATTTTTGCAAGCCGAGGGGGTGGGGGACCCCTCCCCTCGAAAACCGGACCACTGGGATCAAGGGTTTCCGGGCCCTCCGTACACCGTTGCCGAAGGTCCCCCGGCTCGTCCTGGACTTCCCAGGGCGGGGTCTTCCCAGCAGACCTCGAGCGATCAGAGCGTTGATCGAAGAGGCCGAACATAGACCCAAGACAGCACAAGAGCGCTCCAAGAAGGACCCTGATGGCCTCCATAGGCCCCCAATACGGCCAAGGAGGCCCTCAACATGACCCCCAGAACGCAAGAATCGCTTCATTCCTTCGGGGAAGCGAACATTTTCAGCATAGTCGCTGTTCGGGTCCTAGCAGCGCCCAAAACGGCCAAAAAGGCCTCCGGTATCGCCCCAAGACGGCCCAAAAGACCCCCAAGAGAGCCTCTAGACGTCCTGGATGGTCCCAAAACTGCCCAGAGAAGCCCCAGATGGACCAAGAAGAAGCCCACCAGGCCTTCACAAGGCCCCAAATAGAAGCCCAAAGAGGCAATGGGAAGCCCCCGGAAAGGCCATGGGAGGCCACCAGGAGGGCCCACGTTGCCGCTGTAAGGTCCCTAGAAGGCCCAAGCTCCCCAACACGGCCCAAGATGGCCCCAGGACGGCTCGAGAGGGCCCTAAACCGGCCCACCAGGGCTCCAACAAGGCCTACACGGCGGGTTCCACCAAACTGACCCGAATCCCAGGTTCGCAACCACATTTCCTGGAAATCTGTTGCGAACCCAGGATTCGGTGCATTCCTCAACACCTAGTTATTTTCACGTGCCCTGTTGCGACCCGCTGCAACATGACATCCTCGGCTTGGCATTGCTTTGTGCTTTGCAGCGTTGCTTGACATTGCGTCGGTTTGCTTGGCATTCATTCGCATGGCTTGCAATTCCTTCGCATTGCGCACCGGGGCACCTGAACCACGAGCCGGGCAATGTGCGGGCCTACGAAGGCCTTTTGTCGTCATTCACTGGTACATACACATGAACCCCTCCGACGGCGCCATCTCTTTCCCTCCTCCTGCTCCTCCTCCGGGTCCTCATCCTCCTCCTCCTCCTCCTTCTGCCGCTCCACCACTCGTCCTCCCCAACATCCATTTCCCTCTCCTCGCTCTCCGAGATTCCCTGCATCCTATCCTTCGCCCTCCACCCAGCGCCTTTCGGGAACCCCCAGAGGCCCGGGAAGGGCCAGGGACCTCCCGAACTTTCGAAGACTTCCGAAATTCAACGCAGGGAAAGGGAAAATCTCCAAGGCCACTAGGGATGGCGCGAACGACCAACATATGCAAAGCCTCAAGGGCCAAGGTGCATGGCGCGAAGCACCAATGCAGTCTTGTATGCATGTATGTATGTATGTATGTATGTATGCATGCATGCATGCATGTATGTATGTATGTATGTATGCATGCATGCATGCATGCATGCATGCATGTATGTATGTATGTACATACGTATGTATGTCTGTCTGTATGTATGTATGCATGCATGCATGTATGTATGCATATAGACATATATATGGAAACAGGAGGTACCATGCCCTGTTCGAACATGTTTCTCATGCGTCAGCTCACTCACAAACTATAGGCACCATCACCTCTTACTACTGCTAATTTCAAAACACACAAGTCGGTGCGTAAGTCATGTCTATCTGAGCCAAGTCTGGCCAAACGCAACCTTCTTGTGACACATGCAGCTTACGTTGCGCCTACCCAAGTTCAGCACACAACATGTGGCCTGGTTGCAATGGTCATTCGCTGAAGAGTCTGCATGCGCCTGCACGAGCAAGTGTACTGAATGAAAAATGCTCGAACGAACTCTATGAATGGCGAACCACACCAAGAAAGGAAAGACGCGTGTCCGGTCTCGGCGTCCACATGCAAGCGTCCTTCCAGAACCTGCATGAGTCTGAAGCCGCAATCATACGCACAGATTCCTCTTCAAATGCGAAGCGCACTTACAGGGTGCTTAATGGTGTGAGCCCCGAGTCGGCACAAGAGCGCACTAAAACATCCAAGCCTTTTCGGGCATCCAGCGCTCCAATGCGGCCCGGGAGGCGCCCGAGATTGCCAAATGACGGCCCTCAACGAGGGCCCCAAGAGGGCCCCAAGACGGCCTGGGACGCGCCCAACAGGGCACACAGGGAGAGTCCGAAGTGACATGTCGAGACTTTCCCCCAAAAGGTGGCTTTGGAACCAGCAGCAGGCCCCCAGAAGGCCCAGACATGCTCCCAAGACGCTCCCCGAGGCCACCCACCATGCCTCCAAGATGCTCCGTCCTTTGGTCCACGACCTAAGCATGGTGGCGGGATGGGCCAAAGTGAAGAAAAGCTGAATGCAGCAACTGGCCAAACGTGATTACACAGCACTGTGAAAAAAGGAGAAATTGCACCCTGGGGTGTGACACACTCTCTGAATTAGGATATGTCCCCTGCGCCTAGCAAGCCAACGCCCCTGTGGCTTGTCACAGGGTGCACGACGTAGCAAACTTTTGATAGTTTCTGACTCTACTTACCAAGATGACCGCCAAGATGCCTCGGGGACGGCCAAGATGGCGCCCAAGATGGTCCCAACATGTCTCCCATACAATCCGATCTGCCCCCAAACTGGTCTCAATATCGCTGAACACGGCCCAGGAGGCCTGCAAGACGGCCCAAGAAGCCTCCAAGAGGACCTCCAGGAAGGCCAGAATATGCCTAAGTTGTTGATGCTCCGCTACTATGCAGATTTAGCCAGACGATGGTAATAAGGGCGGATCGTGCCGTCTGCTGAACGTAAGAGGTGAATGACGCACAGGTCGCGCCGCGATGAGGCGGGTTTGATCCCTGTCCCCCTCCTCCTCCTTCTCCTTCTCCTCCTCCTCCTCCTCATCCTCTTCCACCTCGCCCGATTCCTCCTCCATCCTCCCCTCCTCATGGGTCCATCGTCCTCCTCATGGGGTATGGCGGCTTCCCCAGTCCTTTATTTTACTGCGTGCTCACCCACAGCATTTATCAGAACGACTGGCCTGGGCATCATTTCTGGATGGGCTGGTGTGGTTACGCGAAGCTCAAATCGTGCCCTTTCTTATGTGCCCATTGATTATGCACGCGCGGTCCTGCGTTCTGAACGCCCAGTGATAATGTTTTACATTTTGTCATCCTGCGCAGCGTTGCTCGAGTTTCCTCCCTGCTCCCCGTCCTCCTTCCTCCAGCGGGGCAAGACGCGAGGTGGTCACCGCAGGTCGTTTCCCGGAGGGGTAGCAAACAACAAGGTAATGCAAGATAGTGCAACGTCGCGGCAAGTCAAAGGGTAAATTGTGGAAATGTTGTGCGTATCTAACCCCCAATGCCGCGATAGCTTCGGCGCTGGCGTGGGTCTTTGTCAGACTATCATCGTCAACGTAAAAAGGTCAACACCTTAACCAGTTCCGAAAGTTCCCACGCGGGAAAGACTGATCATATCCAAGTCCCCCCTGCTTCTTTCTCCCTCGGCCCTCCCTCCCTCCCTTTCCCCCTGGTTGCCAACTTCTTTCCTCGCATTCTGCACGTCTCCCCTTGCATCACTTCGCGGTGAGTGTCTGAGCTGCGCGCGCAAGAACTTGGCGGGCAAATGTAGACAACGGCGCGAAAACAGTGGGAGCGCCCTTCGATGGAACATCTCCAGGCTACGGTTGGTATGAAGGCACGGGGTGGGCGGGTGTCGTGAACTCATCGAGGAACGGCGCGAGGAGCGCGACGTCGATGCGGCAACACAGCGCTACTTTTGTTGTCGGAAAGACTCCGGCGCCCCGTTCCGTCAGAGCACCAGGGGCCCAGCAACTGGGGCCATGAGGAGTGCGCGCGGGCTCCATTTATTGCCGCGGCCATTGTATAAAAGGCGAGCGATGCCGTGCCCCTCGTCGACATCACGCCACAGGTAGGATCCACTTGCGTTCCAGAGCGAGGTCCGCGATTCCCGCGCCTCCTTCGCCATTTACTCATTAAGCGTCTTGAAGACTTTCAGACGGAGGCGGGACTTTCTGCAATACCTGTTTTGGCGGCGGCCGAAGCAAATCATATCATCCATGCGTGTGGCTCAGCTGAACACCGCGTGCACATTCAACCACCAGCTCCTTCGCTCTGTTTTCTGGTCAGCCATTGCTCGTGACCTGCGCACAATCGATGGCCACCCGGGCTAGGATCGTCGGGCCCTGTACGACGGTGAGCGTCAAAAAGTGCCCGTGCGTGGGCGCGTATCCCAGCTTGCGTGAGCGCGTATCCCCCGCCCGCAGCGCACCCCTTCAGCTGTCGAGCAAATGGCACGCCAGCCACGCTTCGCGGGCGTGCGCCGCATAGCACCCCCACCCGCTGTGGCGGCGAGCAGTGCCACGCCTGCCACGCTTTGCGGGCGTGCGACGCATACCGCCCCGACTCCCTGCGTACCTTCTCCGGTGCGCGCGACGGATACCTAACGCCTCCATCCCCTGCGCACCCCCTTCTCACGTCGAGATACGTCGAGCAAGTGCCACGCCTGCCACGCTCTGCGAGCGTGCGACGCATAGCGCCCCCACCCGCTGCGCACTGGCTGTGTCGAGAAAATGCCACGCCTGCCACTGAATCTCCTCCCTGACGCGCTGAGGGCTCCAAGGGCGGCGAGGGAGGCGCGACCAGGGGGCTCGGCATAGATCGAAGAAATCCTCTCGGAACTCCGAAAGTTGATGTTTTAGGGCGGGAGCTTTTGCTTAGCGTGTCGCGGCGGCGGCAACACGGTATGCCCTGCAAGCGGATAGCGTCTTGCTCCGCTCCGCTCCGCGGGAGGCTCGGAGAGGTTCGAGACGTGGAAGCCTCGGGACTGGGAAGGCGGATAGCGTGCCGCGCCGAAGCGTGGTGGGCCACAACCGGCGGAACGACACGCCATGCAAACAGTCCCGACCGCATGCAAGTTCTTCTCCCTCGAGCGAGGCCGGCCCTCCGAGGCCCAGGCTCCAGCGCGCGCTGCCAATGGAAGGCCCCCTCGCAGGCCGCGAGCACGGCCCCGCAGACCTTTGCGTCGGGCAGGCACTCGCGCCGCAGCATCTCCTGAGGCCGCCCCGCCGAGGGAGCCGCTTCCCCGCCGGCGAGGGGCGGGACTGCGGGGGGGGCGAGGAGGAGGAGGAGGCGGAGGAGAAGGAGGAGGGGGAGGGGGAGGAGGAGGAAGAGGAGGAGGAGAAGGAGGAGGAGGAGGGGAAGGAGGAGGAGGAGGATGAGGAGGAGGAGGATGAGGAGGGGAAGGAGGAGGAGGAGGAGGAGGAGGAGGAGGAGGATGACGGCGACATCGGCAGACACGCAGATGATAGTAGCGATGCTGATGGCGAGGATGACGACGACGTCGGCAAGTCCAATGACAGCGCCGATGCTGATCTCACCGATGACAGCGATGGTGTCTATCCGTCGGTGGTAAAGGTTTTGGAAGGATTTCGACATGCGCGCGCGGCCGACGGGCACGAGTGGCCCGCATGGCGTTACTTGACAAGGATCGTGCCCCCCCCAGTAGGCGCGCAAGGGCGTTCGAATGGTTCCGACATGCGCGCGCGAGAGACCCGCGTGGCCGCATTTGATGAGCATGTCGAAACCAATGTTTTGTTCGTTAAAATTCGCAGGAGCGCGCGAACGTTTTTTTTGTTTCCTTTTTTTTTTGGGGGGGGGGAAGTCACGCTGCAAAACCATCTTTCGATATTCGTTTTATGAAATTTGATATGGGAATCCTTACATAACCTCGTTTCTATATACACAGATGTATGCACATGATTATGATAACACATATTACAACATCAACAACAAGCACATGCACACATACATATATGTATACGACTGTCTGTCTGAATGTATACATGCATACATGTACGTAAACACACTAGATGCATGTATATGTATGTATGTATGTATGCATGCATACATGCATGTATATATTCATATATGCATGCATGCATGTGTGTGTATATGTCTGTCTGTCTGTATGTATGTATATGTACGTATGTATATATATATATATAGATATGTATGTGTGTATGTGTATGTGTGCTTGTATGTGTCTGCGCGCGCGACGCCCAGCGCGTGTGGATAGGTACCATTTATCGCAAGGGATTCTTGAACACGGATGAGTTTTGAGAAACGAGCGTGCTCGCATATTTTTCTATTGGTCAGGGATGACGGGGGGGTCGATAAGGGCACTCCCAATATTTGTATGAACTCACATTGACAATGACAAATGGGGCAACATCTTTTGTGAATTGTATTATCCTCAGGAGTACCGCGAAGACCGGGGTGGGTGGGTGGTAGATCCTAACCCTTTTGAAGAGTTAGATTGGCAAAGTGTATCATCTAGAAACACATTCTAGGCTCACGCCTCTAGAGGCAAGCGGCGTCTTACGCTGTTGACCGTGGCTTTTCCCGTGGTCTCGGGTCGGTGCCCTCCCTTAGGGACCATCGGCTCACCAGTGGTGAGCATCGCTGTCCTCGTTGTCTTCGCTGAACTGGCTGAGGACTTCTTCTCTTATTGCAGGCGGGATTCGCCACGTCTAGCCTGTTTACAAGCCCCAACGCGGGGACAGAGCACGGTGGGAGCCAAAATCTGTAGAGTTGCATGCCCCCCCCTCTAGAGGCCCTTCGAAAAGCCCCTCAAAGGCCCTTCTAGAGGCACCTCTAGAGACGCCTCCAAAGCTCCTCAGAGCCTCCAAGGAATACGATCCGATGCACACGCTCCACCCGCCCCCACGAGTTCACCCACAAACGACGCCTCCCAGAGAGCGGACGTGCCGTCAACGCCCGCTCAGCTCCTTCTCTGCGATGCCGGACGGTCCGCATACCTCCACCACCCCATCCAACAACGTATGCACAGGAGCCTACACAGGGAAACAATCAACGCGAGAAAATGAGGACGCCTGGGGGAGACTCGGGGGCTTCCGCGGCCAGCCTGGCTCGAGCATGTCGGCGCTGTTTTCCCCGTTCATGTGATCATAGTCGTCGTCGTCGCCGCCGTCGTCGCCGCCGTCGTCGTCGTCGTCGTCGTCGTCGCCGTTGTCCTCGCCGTCTCTTTATATCTCCCTCTCTTTTTTCGTATCTCTCTATAGCTGTGCTTGTGCCATGAGTACCTGTACACACAGACAACTGATCTGGTCGGACTTCTGGTCCGTGGCTGGACCCCCAGAAAGTCCCAAGACAGCCGCCAACGGGCCCCAGGAGGCCTCAAGAGGCCTTGAAAGCCTCCCACGACGGCCCAACAGAGGGGCAATGAGGCCCCTCAGAGCCCCCAAGAGAGCTCCGAGAAGCGTACCAAAAAGAGTCCCCAGAGGCAAACCTCACAAATCCCCGGTTGTGTTTTTGAAGGCCTTTTGACGATTTTCGCTTTTTCGGCCTGCCAGTGCTCCTCGACGGCCCGAAGGCGCCCAAGACCGCCCCAAGGAGGCACAAGAGGCCCCCAAGACGGCCCCAGGACGGCCCAAAATGATCTCAAGACGGCCTAAGATGCCCCCATGACAACCGATGAGGGTCCAATGATGGCCTCAAACTGCCCCTTGCCCGAACAATTTCTGCGCGCCCCCTTTCGCCACGCGCGAATCTTCGACCCCGCGCCAGAGCCACTTAACGAACCAAGGGTTCGATGGCGCAGCGTAGCAAGCCATAGAAAGTTGGTTTCTTTTCAAACAAGCAAATTCATGTGAGGTGGCGACGGGGCGGCGACGGCGACTACACAGCCGCCAGACCGACGAGCAGACCCAGACGACGGGTGGCGACGAGGCGGCGACGGCGACCACATCGCCGATAGACCGACGGGCAGGCCCAGTTCCTTAGAAAAGAAATTATATCCCCCGCGTGCAAGTACTGTTTGGGGAAAATGGTGAGCAAATCTAATGCGAATTACTTGGCCCACACCACCGACACGTCTGGGGGTGCGACTGGACAAGGGATTGAGGAGGATGAGGAGGAGG